GCAGTGGGGTCCTTGTGATGGGGACCAGTCTGGCTATGGGGCCCCCAGGGACCCAGGGTCTTCAGGCTCCAGAGCCAGCCCGGCTTGTCTAGACTGGGGTTGTCAGTGAAGGAAAAGGGGCTTGAGAAGAGGGCTCCCCTCCTGTCATGGGGCAGAGAGGCAGGAGAGTGTGACCCCTCCAAGCAGGCCTTGTGCTGGAGAGCCATCTACGGGTTGCCACTCACCCACACAGGGCAGGGTCCCTGGACTCAACCCACACCTGCAGGTTACCAGAGTGGCCCCTAACTGGACCAGCAGGCTCAAGACTCATGTCCATTTGTCCTCTGCCAGGGAGGTGGGGTGAGCAAGATACTTGGGCTGGGAACAGCTGGGAAATTCCCACTGCATCCTTGCTGTAGCGCAGGGGCCTGGGGGACACAAGCTCTGGCAAGGTTAGGGGTATGACGGCCTGGAAAACCAATGCCTCTGTCCCCCAGAGCTGGTGGAAGTCACTCCAGGCTGGAGGGATGGGTGTCTGTGTCCTGCCCAGGAGGGGTGGAAGGGACTGGCTTAGAGGCCTGGGTCAGCTCGTGGACCAACAGGGAGAAAAGCCTCCATTGTCACCTGCTGGCCAGCGTCCCCAAGGGTGGTGGAGGAGAGCTGAGTGAGCCCTTGCCTCCTCTCCTTGTTGGGGACACCCAGCGGAGGCCTCGGTGTCCCCGTGTGAATCCAAGGGGACACTGCAGCCTAGAGCCAGGATCCTTCGTTCTGACTGGGCTTCCGGTTCACGCTAGGCTCACTGCTCACTGTGGGGTGCTTCTCTGTGGAGGGAGCTAGAGAAAGGGGGTCTCTCGGGGAGGATGCGCGCACCCTGGCATCCTTGCACAGGGTCCTGGGTGCCCAGTTTGCGCTGCAGGTCGCAGGCTGACCCTGCTGTCCCAGGGGCTTCGTTGTCGCCTCCCAGTGGGGACAGCACCGAGGGGAGGCCACTGCTGCTGGACGAGGGTGGGGCCTCCCCAAACCTGAGCCTCCACGGGGAGTGGGCGGGGCCGCCCCTTCTTCCCGCCCCAGGCCCCGCCCGCCCCCTGCGCCCTGGATCGATTGGTGTCTGCCCATTAGCGGGGGTGGCTGCAAGCCGCCTCATCAATATTTTAAGGATGACCGGGCCTTGGGGTCCGGAACTGCGCGCCGGCGGCGGGAGCTGAAGACCGACCCCTTTGTTTTCTTTTCCAATTGTCAGCGCTATTTTTACCGCTGGAAAGCCGCTGCCGCCCCCTCCCCTGTCAGGCGTGCGCGCATCTTGTGGCTGGGACAGGCGGGGGTCTCCATCTGGGTTCCTGCGCTGGGATCGGGAGAGGCTGAGCCAGGGCTGGGGAAGTCGAGATGCTGGGCTGGATCAAGCTTCCCTGACCGCCCCTCTGAAGCCCCATCTCATTCGATCTGGGAACAAAAAACCAGATTTCCAGGAGGAGAAGCCTGGCAGCCTGCCTGAGGAAAGGCCTGGGGTGATGGGGGAGGTCTGCCCACCCCGTGGTCCCTAGGGGCCCAGCACTCAGCTAGGGACGGGCGCCCTTTGTTCCTAGCCCTAGTCCTCAGGGAAGGAAGCAGTGAAGGTGAGGTGCCACCCTGGCCTGCCACTGGTCCCCATCTTCAATATCCAAGGAACATGACTGGTTCTTCTTTCCTTTTCTTTTTAAATTTTGAGACGGGCTCTAGCTAAATCACTAAATCACCCAGGCTAGGCTCAAACTTCCCATCCTCCTGCCTCAGCCTCCCAGAGAGTTGGGATTACAGCTGTGTCCCACTATGACCCACTCCACTTGGTGACTTTTACCTCTGGCTACCCAACCCCTGCTTCTTAGTAGCTGGGGCCAATCCCTGAGGACACTGAGGGTGGTGGTGCCCACAGGCTTCCAGCCAGCCAGCATGCTTGGTGAGAGGAGTTCGGTATAGCCCCCACCTCACAGTGCCGCCCTGCTCAGTCCCTGACTGGGTAGGACACCCCACACCCAGCTAGGGCCAGCCAGGACCCCCCTCCCAAGAGCCTCCCCAAGGCCTAGTCCCCAACTCCAGCCCTTCTCTCTGCCAGGGCTTTTCCCAGCAGCAGCAGCAGGAAGAGCAGGAGGGACGGGGACAGATGCCCGGGGACAGATGCCCGGGGACAGGCACTGGGGCTCACTTCCTGCCTCCCCCAGTGGGGCAGAATTGTTTCACGCAGGGACAGCCAGCTACTCTCAGCCCCTGATGGTCCCAGTGGTATGGGACAGAAGTGGCCCCCTGCTGAGTAAGTGACTGGGCCCTGCACTCCCCAGGAAATGCCACCGAGTGGATCAGGCAAGGCCTGGGCTCGGGCTCTCCACCTTCTCCGAAGGCCACCGTAGTGTAGCATGTGTGTTCCTGCCTCCACCCCTGGGGGAAAGAATAGTTGCCAGGAGCCAGGCCTCCCTCTGCCCCCCAGGGATGCCTATGCCAGCTGGGGACACAGCCCTGGAAACCGATACCTGTGACACCCTGCAGCTGGCAACTTGCTGGAAGGATACATGGGGGACTGCACGAGCTTAGTGCAGATGCTTGTGCCGCCTGGGCAGGGGACAGAGGGAAGTCTGGGAAGGCTTCCTGGAGGAAGTGGCCCATGGCATTCATCATGGAAGGGCAGGTAGGAGTTTGTTAGGTGAGGATGGAAGGAGCAGGGCAGGAGGAGGGCAGAGCTCACCAGGGCCTCACCCCGCAACTCCCCCGTTTTCATAGACTCCGGATGCCACCCCCTAACTCCCAGTGTCCTGTAAGCCCTGCCACAGCCATTGCTCAGGCTGCAGGGTAGGGGGCTTCTCCTCTTTGCAGGCCCTGCCTTCTGGAGGAAACCCTCTCCCCCAGTTGCCCGCATACCAGTCAGGGGTCTTCAAAGAGACTCGGTTTGGAAACTGTGGGACACTCCTCAGGTAGCCTGGTGTCCTCCCCAGTTAGTCCTGTGGTCATGACTGTCCCAAGGAGAGAGGATTTCCACAGTGCCCGACGGCCTGAGGCCTCAAAGATGATCTTGAGGAAGTGGGGCAGCTATTTTTACCTGGCATTTAATTATGGGGCTGGGATCCCAGAGGAGACACCGGCTGGTGTTCCCGGGAGCCGCACAGGGAGGGGCACTGGGGAGCAGGGGATCCCAGAGGGCAGGTGAGGGCATGACCCTCCATGTCGATCCCCTCTCCCCAGCACAGCTGGCCCCCCGATGGGGTCCCCAGCACAGGGGCACATCTCCCCACTTATCCCCTCTGGTGGGTTTCACCTCAGCCGTGTGAATACTGGCCGGGCCTGTGCCCCAGGGGTGATGGCCCCTTGGGAGAAGGGGGAGAAGGTTCCCAAGTGACGGGTGGGACACACACCATGTAGTTCAGTCATCTGCAAGGGTGAAGGTAGGGGCTGCTTGGCAACAGGCAGGGAGCTGGGGTGAGGAGACAGCGGGGCCCTGGGCTGGGCTGGGAATTCTGCAGGGAACAGTATGTGGTCACTGCGATGGAAGGAAGTCCTGAGGACACAGGGCCTCCAACACTGGCACAAAGCACCAGCAACTGCCGAGCATGGTGGTGCACGCCTGTGATCCTAGCCCTCTAGGAGGCTAAGACAGAAGGGTCACAAGTTCAAGCCCAGCTAGGCAATGTGACAACTTAGTGAAAAGGCCTGAGGATGATGGATATCTTAGGGCAAATGCCCTAGGTTCAGTCCCCAAAAACACCGAAAGAAAGGGGCCCTAGTTGACCCTCATGTTATAGCAACCTGAGTGAGAATCCTAGACCTGTCTCGTCATTAAAAAGCCACTGCTGAATCCTGGTGCGAGGGCTGAGGCAGTGACAGCTGTGACGCACCTGGTGTGCTGAACATATTCATTTGTTCATTCTGTCGGTGTTTACCAAGCACCTGCCATATGCTCTGCACTGGGGACACAGCTACACTCAACACAGGACTGTCACAGTTCCTTCTGAGTTCCCAGCAAAGGGCCGGAGGAGAATACACCAAGCCAGTCAATGTAGGTCAGATGGCAATGGGCATAGCAGAGAGCTCCTGCCATGGACAGAGTGGGAGAATGAATTAACCTAAACAGATCGGTCAGGGAATGCTATGGGACAAAATGACACTTGAGCAAAACACCAAAGGAGGTAAGGGAAACGACATCCCGAGCATGTGCAAAGGCCCTGAGGTGAGGGTCTGGCTGGCCTGCCCTTGAATGGTAAGGAGGCAGGTGCAGCCAGGGAGGATGGCAGGAGACAGCTTGAGGTAGACGAGTGCCAGTGACACTGGGTTGTGCAGCAGGACTCTGCTGAAAGTAACGGGAGCCATGGTGGGATTCTGAGGGAAGAGAGCTGATCTGCCTTGTGATTTAGAAGTGATAACTGGGATCCTGCCTGGAAAGCAGACTTTAGGGGACCGAGGTCAAGATGGGTAGTATGGGTGATGAAGCTGTGAAATTGGCAGGCAAGAGACTGGAGGGAGGAGAGGCAAAGGCCTGGGCTGTCTGCCTGTTCCCCAGGCAGAGCCCCCAGGACCGCCCAGGACTTCTCCCTGCCCACTGGACTCTCCCACCCCCTTACCGGGAATCGAACCCAGGGCTTTTGCACTAAGCAGCTACATCTTCAGGTCTTTGTTTTTTTAAGACAGGGTCCTGCTAGATTGCCCGGGCTGAGCTTGAACTTGCAGTCCTTGTGCCTCAGTCTCCCATGGTCCTGAGATTACAGGCCTGGGCCGTGATTCTACAGGGTTTGAAGGGCCCTAAGAAGAGGTTAGAGAAGGAATTAGGCCCCTGGAGACTCATAGGGACCCCACTTGAAGACCTCTGCCAGCTACAGGAATGGCCCTGGGGGTCCCTGGAACTGTGCTTGGGGCTCCCCTCCTGTGGACGCAGGCTTCTCTATGTCCACCCATCCACGCTGCCCTGTGCCTCCAGCCCCCCCTCACACACGGGGTGCAGCGCGGGGACGGGCATAGGGGGTGCGCTGGCTGAGGTCCCAAAGTCACCTGCTCTTCTCCCACAGCCCCAGGGGGCTGCGATGGGACGGGAGCCATGAATGGTGCCGCCCCCGGCCCGGTCCCAGACTGGCGGCAGTTCTGCGAGCTGCACGCACAGGTGGCCGCCGTGGACTTCGCACACAAGTTCTGTCGCTTCCTGCGGGACAACCCTGCCTACGACACCCCCGACGCTGGGGCCTCCTTCTCGCGCCACTTCGCTGCCAACTTCCTGGACGTCTTCGGAGAGGAGGTGCGGCGTGTGCTGGTGGCCGGGCCGGCGCCTCGGGGGACAGCAGAGCGTGAGGCCATGGAGCCGGAGGCCTCGGCGCCCCCGGCCCTCAAGGCGGCCACCTGTGGCCACTCGCGCAGCTCGGAGGACGTGTCCGGCTCGGTTGCCAAGGCCCGCGCCCGCAAGGGCTTCTCACTGCGCAATATGAGCCTGTGCGTGGTGGACGGCGTGCGCGACATGTGGCACCGCCGCAGCTCCCCAGAGCCGGACGCGAACGCGGCCCCCAGGGCCACGGAGCCCTCCGCTGAGCCGCGCGACAAGTGGACGCGGCGCCTGCGGCTGTCGCGGACCCTGGCGGCCAAGGTGGAGCTGGTGGACATCCAGCGCGAGGGTGCGCTGCGCTTCATGGTGGCCGACGACGCAGCCACGGGGCCTGGAGGCTCCGCGCAGTGGCAGAAGTGTCGCCTGCTCCTCCGCAGGGCCGTCGCTGGAGAGCGATTCCGCCTGGAGTTCTTTGTGCCACCCAAGGTGAGTGTGTCTCCCACCTGGGGGGAGGGGCGCGCCGCAGAAGCTTGAGGAAGCCAGGGACTGGCTCGGGGGACCAAGTTGCCTGATCTGGTATGGTATGGAGTCTTTGGTGTCAGGAGCATGTGGGCGGGGCCGCTTTCTGGACAAGTCATCCCTCAGGCCAGGTTCATCTGTGAAGTGGGAGAGGGTATCCTGTTATGGTGTCACAGGCCTGTAGTCTCAGAACTCTGGGAGGCTGAGGCAGGATCACAAGTTCCACAGCCCAGCCTGGATGACTTAGCAACTTATCAAAACCCTGTCTCAAACCAAAAAAGGGTTGGAGTTGTAGCTCTGTGTGAAGGCCATGGGTATGGGAAAAATTTCCCCATACTGGAAAAGAAAAAAAGTAGTAGTAGTGGGAGGGGGCCTTCAGTCTACACAGGGGGGACCTGGGTGCTATCCTTGGTCATGAAAACCCACTGCTAGCCCTCCTTTACCCCTCCTCATCTGCAGTCGGGCAGGCAGCTCCCAGCGCTGAGGTCTGTGCCACTGAGGGTGGGAGTGACCGAGCCCACCCAAAGAAGGGTCCCTCAGAGGCCTGTGTCGGACTCCATGGGACTCTGCCCATCCCCAGCAGCACCATGTGGCCCTTTTCCTGCTCACCCTCCTGGGCACTGGCCATCAGAGCCCTGGGGCAGCTTTGCAAACTGCCTTCTTTGAAAAGTAGGAATAAGTGCCCCACTAGCGGCCACTTTCCAAGAGCACGGCCTGTGTCCAGCCTGGTGACCTGCAGGTGCAAGCTCTCCTACCAGTACCCAAGAAAAGTGGGCACGTGAGCGCCAGGTCACTGAGGAGAACATCGAGTACTCAGACAAGAGTACCCAGGGTGCCCTGGCTCCTCAGCTGGGCTAATCAAACCCACCAGCTCCTGGTATGGAGAAGGAAGGGAAGTTGGGCGGTGTGGCAGCTGACCACGCCCCCAGAGGGGTTGCTCCGACCCCGCCCACCGTAGGCCCCACCCTGCGGCGGCACTGTCCTAGAGGAGTCTCTTGTTTTAGGAGTTCATTGCGCCCCTCCCTGCCTGCCCTAGAGGTGTAGGGGTGTGGGCTCCCAAAGCTGGGTGCCTCTGATCCCTCCCTGTGGGTCCTAAACCAGTGATTTCCTGGGGGAAGTGCTCTGAAGAGCTTTCTCCCCAAGTCCTAGCACCCCCAGATTTCTCAAGGGCTCTTTGCCTGCCTGGCTTCCATATTCAGGTCCCTAGGAGAAACTGTAGACCCCTAAACCCAACTCTGCTCCTGGATAGACAGAGACCAAGGTCTGGGGAGGGGCAGAACTTACCAGGGGTTACCCAAAGGGCAGGGGCAGAGGTCCAAGGCTTCACCACCTCCAGCCCTGAGTGGCAGTCACAGCTGCCAGTCTGTAAATAGCCACATTTGCTGCCCTGGGAGAGGGGACACAGCAGCTGGTGTCCTCTCCATTGGTCCTCCAGAGCCCACCAACTTCACTGCTGGCAGAAGGCAGGGTTCCCAGGGTGACTGGGCCCTTCCCCCACTCTGAGGAAGGCAAGTGGGTTCCTACCCACCCCCCTTTCAGGCCCTCCTTATTTTCATGCAAATAGTGGAGCACATCTTGGTATTCAGAGTGATCCTCATGGAAGGGAGGGTCACACTACTGGTGTATTAGCCTGTTTTCTGTTGCTGTAACAGAATATCTGAGGCTGGGTTTTGTTTTCTTTTCTCTCTTTTTTTTTTCTTGGTGCCGGGCATCGAACTCAGGACCTTGCCCTTGTGAGTCAGGCATGGTGCCACTGAGCCAAATCCCCAGCCCCAAGTTTTGTATTTTAAGATGAGATTTGTTTAGTTCATAGTTTGGGAGGCTGAAAGTCCAAGGTCAGAAAACTCCAAGTATTCTGTGTCTGGTGGGGTCTTCTGGGCTTGTCACAGTGTGGCAGCAAAGGATGAGGAAGGACAGATTTGTGTGGGAGAGTGACCCTACTATAAAAACCCACCCTCAAGACCTAACCCAGTTCCCTGAGGACCACATTCACCTCTTCCCAGGGCAGCACCCCCGTGACCACCTACTCTCCACTAAGCCCCACCTCTTAAGGGTTCTGCCACCTCTGAATACTGCCAAATTGGGGACCAGATCTCCCCAACACAGACCCTTGGTTGTCCCAAACCATCACACATAGTAGGGGCTCAGGGGAGAGGTTCTCAAATGTCCCAGGGGCCTGGCCTCCAGGGGGAAGGGACCCTCAGGAGCAGCTTGCCAATCACCTCCCTCTGCCTGTCCACCCATTCACAGGCCCAATCTCCCTGGGCCCCGTGGAGCAGTCAGAAGCTTAGGGACACACTCAGGGGGTCTTTATGCTTCCTCTCCACAGCACTTTGTGTCCCCGCCCCAGTGAGCTCTCTGGCTTCCTGCCCCCTTCTCCCTGCAGGAGCAGTCTCCTGATCCCCAGGTCCCCTCCTAGCCCTGTGCCAGGCCTACCTTGGGGAGCAGCCAGGAAACCCAGATTTGCAAGACGAGTTGCAAACCTGAATAGGGCAAGCTCAAGGTGGGGAACTTGGGCTGTGTGTTTAGCAGGGGGCAAGGACAAGGCCGAGGACTGAAGTTGGGAAGTGGATGCAAAGTTGTGGCAGGGACAGATGAGACTGGGACATACAGCCTCAGATGCCAGCCCAAGGGACCACAGCACCTCGGGCCTGCAGGAACCCAGCCGAAGGGCCCGGGCCAGGCCTTCACCTGGACCCCCGTGTGCTGCACCTGCCCCACACCTGCGGCCCTCGGCCCCGCTGGGGTGGCCTCCCACCAGCACAGCCCACCAGGCTCCTCAGTCCCTGACCCAAGCCCAGCCCTGTGCCTGCTGGACAGTGGCCAAGGCTGCCAGGAATTCCTATCTGCCTGCCCACCAAATCTGTGGCTCTTCCCTTTCCTCTGAGAAAGTCCCTGTCCCAGAGCCCAAGCCCTGCCGAGAATCCTGGTCCCAGACCAGCCCCAGGGGATCTCAGGGCCATGGCCAGGAGTTTTAGGGCAAAGCACATAGGACTGGGCACAGAGTGGCTCCCAGCCGACTCACCTTGGTTCAACCTCGCAGTGTCACTGGGGACACCAGTTCCTTTTACCCACACCTGGGCCAAGGCCCTGCTCAGCTTAAGTCCCATTCTGAATCAGGAGCCGTGCTCCGGAAAGTCTAGTCTGAAGCAGGAAGCCAGCCTTTGTTTCTTTTTTTTAATGAACTAGAATAGAATAGAAAATATCACACTTCATCACACACTGTAAGGGTAAATACTGCCTGGTGAAATGTTTGTTTCAGATATTTTTACCTATGTGGGTATGCACTGGGCTGCAGTGTCAACTATGTATATTTCTTACTGTGGGTTTAAGTCAAAAATGGGAAAAACCAACCAGAGTGGGTACACTGTGTCATCCCAGCACTCTGGGAGGCTGAGGCGGGAGGATGGAAAGTTTGAGCCCAGCCTGGGCAACTTAGCAAGGCCCTGTCTCAAAAATAAAAATGAAAAAGAGCTGAGGATGTAGCTCAGTGCAAAGGCACAGTACTACAAACGGAAAAAGGAAACGTAAAAGAAAAAGAGGCCCAGAGATTTGGCTCAGTGGTTCCGCCACCTGCCTCATAAGCCCAAGGTCCCGAGTTCGATCCCCGGTACCAAAAAAAGAAAGAAACCCACAGGTCTGCTGGTGCAGAGGGCTCAAAGCTGGAGCTCGCCCTCCAGGCTGGTCCCTGATGCCCCCTGCTCGGCCTTCCGCAGCTTCCCATCTGTGAAATGGGGGTCAGAATAACACTCTGCTAGGGAGGTCCCAGAGCCTAAGCTGGGGGCTGCTGAGATCTCTGGGAGGCCTCGAGATGACCCTCTCGCTCTCTCTCACTCTGGGTCCCAGGCCTCCAGGCCCAAGGTCAGCATTCCCCTGTCAGCCATCATGGAGGTCCGCACCACCATGCCTCTGGAGATGCCGGAGAAGGACAACACCTTTGTGCTCAAGGTGAGCATCACCCTAGCCCTGAGGTCCTCCATCCACCTACCGCCTCCTCCCTCATAGGTAGCCTAGCTGGAGGTCATCACAGGGGAGATGGGGAGGGAGCCCCATTATCCCACGACAGATGTCTGGCACATGGCTAGGACCCGAATCGGGGTCTGAGCTCTGGAACCATGTGCCCCAAGCAGCAGTGGCCATCTAGGCCCCTGTTCCCTTTTCCTCCTGCTCTGTGAAGCTCATCAGTTTCACTTCCTCCCCTCCCTTCCCCACAGGAGCCAGTGCACACCCACCCCATGGGCCAGAGCTGGCGGCCAACTTGGAACAGTTATGCAAATGGCCCTGCATCGGGGCGCTGGGGTGTGGGACCGCCTGGTCCCACAGAGGGCACAGAGCACTGTGGGTGGGCGAGGGCAGCACCTGGGGCCTGGGGGCACCTGAGGCCTGGGTGGCCTGCAGGGGTGGCTGAGGACGGGGCTCCCAGCTGCCAGGGCCAAGGTCCCTGTGCCTCCTGGAAGGATCAGGCAGTGTCTGAGGCCAGAGTCCCCAGGGAGGTGGTGTCTGCCCCCTCGAAGCCTCGCAAAGCCCCCACCCTCCTCTCCAGGCTGCGGTTTCACTCATCCCTCTCTATTCATCGAAGCACAAACTCACTGACTCACTGAGCAAACGTCTGCCATCCCTATGCCCTGTTACCCCAGGCAGGAGGCTGAGGACACTGGCACTGCCCTCCTGGCTCTCCCATCTACGGGGTGGTCCCCATGGTGCTGGTTATATTTGGGAGCCCTGAGGCACAGGGACTAGCTTGCCGGCCCCACTTCAGGCCTGTTTATCCATCCATTCAGAGAAGGGTTAAGGGGATTCTCTGAAGACCCTCCCAGCCCAGCACTGCTTTTGGACAGAAGCACAGGATAGGAAGCTGACAACATGAGGCCTGGGAACCCTGAAGACTTGGGTTCAGGTTCCAGAACTGCCACTGGCTGCTGTGTGACTTTGAGCAAGTTACTTGGTTTCTCTGGACCTCAGTCTTCTCATCCCAAAACAGGATCAATAGATCATCCCCTCCCAAGCCTAGTGCAAAGCGCTTGGCTTGGCTGTTGTGGTAGAGTTCAGGCACTCTGTGTGCTGGGCCAGTTGGCTCCCCCTTTTGACTTGGACCCCATTTCCAGGTGCCAGGGTACTGGCTGGGGATGCTGGGTCCTCATCTCTTCCTCAGCCAGCATGGCCTACCCTGAGGCTTCAGTTCCAGGGAATGAGGGCCTGGGCTCTGTGGGGCTGGGCCTCGCCTGCAGCATGGGCTACAGGCTGCCCCCCAGGACCTTGGCTGGGTTCTGGGCAGTGCCCGACGATGACCCCAGTCTCCATCTCTGAGCCTGGGGGAGGGAGGGATGGGCCATAGGAGCCATTCTGACTCCCATCCTGGGGTCTAGAGCCCCTGCTGAGGGTAGGGGAGGCTGGAGCATGTCTGAAGTCTGGACGCCCAAACACCCCCTCCAGGTGGAGAACGGAGCTGAGTACATCCTGGAGACCATCGACTCGCTGCAGAAGCACTCGTGGGTGGCTGACATCCAGGGCTGCGTGGACCCTGGGTGAGTGGCCACGTGGCCTGTGGTGGAGGTGCAGCTGGGATGTCCTCGGTCCTGCCCTCAGGGAGCAGCTCATCATAGGCTTTTCATGGTCCAGTCCAGCCCATTCCCCACTCCAGGCCCCAGCTGGTTCTGTGAGGCCTGCTCTGCAGGGCCAGGGCCCCCCTTCTTGCCTTCACTTCAGGGAGCTTCAGATGGCTAGGAGGAGGCTGTGATGGGGTGAGACCCCCCACCTTATCCCCCAGCTCAGGCAAGGCCTGCTGTAAACATGCTTACCTAATTAAGGCTTAGGGAAAGAGTAGGCCTTACCCAGGCATGACAGTGCACACTTGTATTCCAGCACTCTGGGAGGCTGGGGCTGGAGAATCACAAGTTCAAGCCCAGCCTGGTCAACTTAGTGACTTAGCAAGACCCTGACTCAAAATTTAAAAAGGTCTGGGAATGTAGTTCAGTGCAAAGGTCCTGGGTTCAATCCCCAGCAAACAAAGGAAAAAACAAACAAACAAAAAACCCCAGTCAGCCTGAGTTGGCCAGAAGGCAGGAGTACAGAAGAACAAAAAGAAGAGCCCAGCAAAGGGCGCGGGTGTGTCCCATGACAGGACACCGCTGTCCTTTCTGTACTACATAGTGACAGCGAGGAAGACACTGAGGTGTCCTGTGCCCGGGGAGGCTGTCTGGCCAGCCACGTGGCCTCCTGCAGCTGTGAGCTCCTGACAGACGGTAGGTGGGGACAGAGCCGCCGGGGGGGTGGGGGACCCAGTTGGAGGAGGTGAAGACGGGTGGACAGATAGGACATGTTTCTCACATCCACGTCCCTGACAGCAGACCTACCCCGGCCCCCAGAGACTACGGCGCCCGGTGCAGTGGTGACAGCCCCACACAGCCGTGCTCGAGATGCCCTCGGAGAGTTCCTGCCACATGTCCCACTAGAGACCTTCCTTCAGACCCTGGAGTCCCCAGGCACCAGCAGTGGTGACAGCAATAATGCAGGTACCAGTGGGCAGCTGGCTTTCCCTGCCTTCCTCTCCCAGGTCCCTCCACCCCAGCCACAGGGACTCCTGAGCACCTCCAGAACCCTTGCTGGGCCCCAGACATGGTAACATTTCACTCACTCCCCATCAAAGTGTGCCACACTTTTTTTTTTTGGCAGTACTGGGGATTGAACTCAGGACCTTCCCACTGAGCTACATCCTCAGCCATTTATTCATTTAATTTTTTTTTTTTTTTTTTTTTTGAGGCAGGATCTTGCTACGTCACTCAGTTGTTAAGGCTGGGCTGAAGCTTTCCATCCTCCTGCCTCAGCCTCCCAGAGTGCTGTGATTATAGGCCTGTGCCACCATACCCAGCCTGAGTCAGGCTTCTGTTGGCCAGTCTATCCTGATCCTCCCACTGGGCCTGGTTTCCATAGAAAATGCTTACTGAAAGGAGTGCAGAGGGTTGGCACTGGGGTAAAGACGGGAGACTTGATTTGTTCCCACGTTTGTTGCTGACTTACAGTGATCATTCTTCCCCTTCCGTGCCTCAGTTTACCTCATATGGATAATCACTGGGTATCAGCTTCATGCCTAGTTCTAAAGTCAAACAGCATTCCCCATAACCAACAAGATGCTGCCCCCATGTCTCCCTTACACTGTCACCTCCCTCCCAGGGGAAGAGGGTGCTGAGCCAGATCCCGAGGTGGAGCCCAAGCTGGAACTCTCTGACTACCCCTGGTTCCATGGGACACTGTCACGGGTCAAGGCCGCGCAGCTGGTGCTGGCAGGAGGGCCCCGGAGCCATGGACTCTTCGTGATCCGCCAGAGTGAGACCCGGCCCGGGGAGTACGTGCTGACCTTCAACTTCCAGGGCAAGGCCAAGGCAAGTGTGTGTGGGGGGGCAGGGGGGTACAGCAGCCAGGCCTGGGGAAGGGGCTGAAGTGTCCTGGTCCTGCAGCTCTTGGCAGGACTTCCCACAAGCCAGGCCCATGCTGGCCATGGGGGGCCACTTGCTCGTGACCAAGCCCACCTAAGTTTAGGCCCTTCCAAGAACCCAACTTGGCAGATCCTTGTGGGTCCTATGAATTGGGGATCAGTGGCACTGGGGCCTCTGAGGGTCCCCACCTAAAGCCATGTGGTTACAGGGCTGGGGTCAGCTGAGGCCCTCAGAGCCACACCCCAAGATAGCCCCTTTTCTTCCCTGCCCTGGTCACTCTCCAGCCTCTTGTGCTCAGACAAAGGACAAGGACAGGAATATACCTTTCTCCAGGGACACACACAGGCTCTGTAATCCAGCAGGAGGGCTGCACAGGGTCTTGAGGACAGAGCCAGAAGGGACCCTGATCTCTGATGTGCAGGGGAAGAACTGTTGAGGTGGAGACAGGTGGGAAGGGTGACCCAAGCAGGGCCATGAGCACAGGTGAGCTGCCAAAAAGGGAGTCACGGGCCATAATGACCTATGGGGCAAAGGAAAACACCACAAAAAAGTCAAGGGACTTTGGGGTCTGACAGCATGTGGCCGGAGGGGGCAGGAACCTCTGCACCCACACCCCAAAGCCCTGGGTTTCCAATAATGAAGCAGACCTAGCCTTGGCTCCTTCCAGGGCACGTTCCCTTCCCTTCCCACCCCACAGCAGGAGGGGGCACTCTGGGATTCCTGCTCTAGGCCTGCAGCTAGGGGTCAGCTTCTGTCTGCAAGCTGCAGGCTGGCCCTGCAGTGGCCTCTCTCCTTGGCAGTGCCGGCCCCACAGTAGAGGAGGTAGCACCTCCTGGAGGACACCTCCTTGGAAGGCAGCCACCCTTAGCAGTTCCTACAACTACCAGGCACTTAACACATCCCTGGCGGCTGGCGGTTTACTTCTTGGCCAGTGCTGCCTCCCCGGAGGGCCTGGATCTGACTAATACCCAAGCTAGGGCCTCAGATGGTGCTCAGCTTGCCGAGGGAAGTGGGACCAGCAAGAGACAACCTTGAACCTGGCCCTCCCCACTCACCCAGCTGGTGCTTTCAGCTCCATGCCCCATAGCTTAGGGGTCCAGTACAGCAGGGCCCCATTCCTCCGTTGCCACTCCCTCCCAGAGGAAGCTCTTTCCACCTTCAGGTAACAAAAGTCCAGAAAGTTTTCCTAATCCAGATCATCTGCCTTGCTTCCCCCTGCCCTGGAAGCCCAGCTCTGCCCTGGGCCTCTGCCCCCAAGACCAGAAGGGGGACCTCACTATGCTGTTTCTCCAGGCTGGGTCCCAGCTCTGGGCTGCCATTAATATTCCCAAGCTTTACTCGTGCTGTTCCCAAGTGGCAGAACTCACTCCTACTCCCCACCTCTGGGCGGGGGGGGGGGGGGGTCTCTGTCCTCTCTGTAGGCTCCTAGGCCAGCTCCCTCTCCTGGGCTTTGGGCCACATGCACACCCTCCGACCCCCACCTATACCTCCCTTCCTGCCATGCACACCCCAGAGACAGCCACTCTTCCTGCTGTGGGATGCATGCTGGACAAAACAGTGGAAACAAGAGACATGTGGCCCACCACTGGAGACCACAGGCCTATGGCTTCTCACCTTGAATCGTCTACCTCAGGTAGGCCCCAGGGACTCAGAGAAACTGGCCCTGTCCCATGTCCAGCTGCTCCCACTGTTGCACAGCTAAGGAGCACAGGCAGGCAGCTTTGGCACTGCAGGGACTGTGCAGCCAACCCTGTCCTCCTGGGCTGTCAGGATCACACAGACATGAATTCTCGTCCCAGCACGGTGCCCTGAGACTATGGGGCAAGTCACACTCCCACATCTCCAATGTGGGGGGCAGTAACCCCTACCTTCTGGGGTCTTCCAGGGTGAGGGGTGAAGGACACGAGCATAGGCACAGAGCAGGTGCTGCCAGGGTGGGGACAATGCCTGTGCCCTTCAGTCCCAGCCTGGCTCATGACCCCACCCCCAGATGGGGCTCAGTAAAAGGCACTTGCCCGGATGGCCAGCCCAGGACCCCACCACTGACTGGCCTGCCTGTGCCCACAGCACCTGCGCCTGTCCCTGAACGGCCACGGCCAGTGCCACGTGCAGCACTTGTGGTTCCAGTCTGTGCTGGACATGTTGCGCCACTTCCACACTCACCCCATCCCCCTGGAGTCAGGGGGCTCCGCCGACATCACCCTACGAAGCTATGTGCGGGCCCAAGGCCCCCCACCTGGTAAGATGTCCCCACCTGGCCCTTGTGATAGCTCTGGATAGGCAGCTGCCCAGCATGGCTGGGGGGGGGCGGGGGGTGCTGAGCCAGAGTTCCCTGACCAGAGCCTCAGGTGCGCCCTCCCGGAGCCCAGAGGCCGGGACTGTGAGCCGGGGGTGGGGAAAGGAATGGAGGCAGGGTGGCAGCCCGGCCCCCAGGTCCCAGTGATCCCTGGCTGGGGGAGGGGGCCCTCAGTGGCACAGGCGGGTTCTCCAGAGCCCGGCAGAGCTGTGGCTCAGCACTGGAAGTACTGGTGGGGTGCATAGGCTGCTGGGGCGCTGTGTGCGATCCCAGGAGGTGGGCTGACCAGAGCTCAGTCACCCCAACTCGGGCCTGGAGTCCTGCGCGATCCCGGACCACGCCGTCTCTACCAGGGCTCTGGTCGTGGGCCCGATACGCCTGGGCTGTGGCCGGCTCAGGGCGGCCCACGGCCCGGCGCTGACGCCGCGCGGCCTCCCGTTGCAGACCCAGGGCCGTCGCCCAGTGCCGCGCCCGCGCCCGCGCCCCCTGCCTGCTGGGCCGAGCCCGCCGGCCAGCACTACTTCACCAGCCTGGCCGCGGCCTCCTGCCCTCCAGCCTCGCCCTTGGAAGCCGCTGGCGCCTCGTCCTCCTCCGCCTCGTTGTCCTCGGCCGCATCGGTGCCCGTGCCCCCGCGCGCCCCCGAAGGCCCGCTTAGCGTGCGCAGCCGCAGCAATAGCGCCGAGCGCCTGCTGGAGGCAGCCGCCGGCTCCGGGGAAGAGACCGCCGAGGCAGCGCCGGGACGCGCCCGCGCCGTGGAGAACCAGTACTCCTTCTACTAGGGAGGGCTGAGCTTGACAGAAGCCCCGCCCACTGCGGCACAGACCCCGCCCTCCACGGACCGGCCCGCCCCTCGACGGCACGCTCCGCCCACCGGCCCTAGCCCGGAGCTGGGAGAAAAGCGAAGCTCTTCAGTGAAGACATAAATGTTATTAAAGAGCCTGTTTTAGGGACTGCACCCGGCTCTCCTGTTGTCCTTTCTGCTGCGCTGTCCTCCGTCATGGTGAGAGAGCAGCTCCTTCCGTTCAAGGACATCTGCAGAGCCGCACACAGGGCCCAACCTAGCCTCACTCAGTTCTGTTGTAAGGGAGGCAGCTGAGACAGAGAGCTGGGCTCAGGGAGTTTGCCCAGGGCAGGGGGCTTTAGTGGAACCGTGAGAGAGACATGGAGACATCCGAGGACACAGTGAATGATGGGGAGGGCCCAGGTCACACAGGCCTTGAATGCTAAGGCGAGGAGTTGCCCCTGGCTGGGAAAGTAAGGTGTCCTCATGCAGCTCAGTGTAGGCCTGGCAACATGGGAGGATGGCAAGGCAGGGCATCTCCACATTAGCCCCTTGGGGAATTGGGCAACGGGAGATGCTGGATTTCCCAACTCTACCTAGAGGGGGCAAGGGTCCTTCCGCCCCTATGGGTGCATCTTGTGCCTGCTCACAAGCTGAGCCGCAGAGCTCCATGTCCCCAGCCTGCAGCCAGCACCTGGGTCTCAGGCCATGCCCTTCCCAGGAAGCCTTTTCATGTAGGACCAAAGCCCACCTCCTCTTCCCTCCTCAAAACTCTGCCCCCCAGCCTGGGGGCACAGATCCACAGACCCCTGCTCAGGAGTGGCCTCACAGGGCCGGGCCAGTGGTGTATACCACAGACTCCCAGGCAGCTGAACCTCAAAGACTATAGCTAAGACCCCCACAAGAGGGGCACAAGCACCCCTGGGTAACTCCCAGGGGTAAGGGCCCTCTGGCTGGAGCCCTAATGGTTTGGGGTCTATACTAGGCCAAGTACCAGTCCCCACCCTACCTACAAAAAAACAGAGGGGACAGGAGGCGGCTTAGGCTGCACAGAGGCCTGGGCTGGTGAAGGGTGTCCACCGGCCACCTTCTGCTTCTCAGCCAGCTGGGGGAAGGCTGAGCCTCCCACTCCCTAGGAGAAAGTGGCCTTTGCGAGTGTTCCAAGGTGGCTTCAAAGGTAGCATGAAGACTTGAACACAGGGTGTGCCAACCTGCACCCCTCCTGTCTCTCCCTTGAGAGAGTCAGCCACTCACGTGCTTACCATTCAGAATGGAACAGAAACAGGCAAAAGGAACTGATTCTGTCACCTTTTAAAATTAGGAACTCAGAGTAGGAGAACATTCGAGAAGGTCTTTGCCTACCCTAAGCATGGCTGTCAGGCAGTGTTCCTGCTGTGTTCCTATGTTAAAGTGAATTCAGGGGGCAACTGGAAAATGATAGGGTGGTCCCAGGCTCTCTCAAGGGACACAGCAGTAAGGGCAAACAGCAAAAGGTCAAGTGAAAGGAACCTCTTTCCCCCACAGTGTGGCTACCAGGACGAGACCTTTGGGGCTGTCACAGTGCTGCTTCCAGAAGGCCCAGATTTAGAGGCTCTGGGGAAATCACAACAGTTGCACACCTGGCAGCAGCATTTCCAATGTGGCTTCCTTTGCTCTCCAAAAAGTGCTTCAGATGCTGCTCTGTGCCACAACCGGCCCGTGGGGTAGCTGGGCAGGCGGCCAGGCAGGCCCATGGCAGTGTGATGGGCACAAGAGAGGGCTGGACCCTGGGTGTGGACTACGGCAGGGGAGGGCTGTGGGTGCCAGGGGCAGCAAAGTGGAGAGAGCCTTGAAAGCCAGGCAGGGAGTTTGCTTAGGAAGCCAGTGTCATTTAGAACCGGGAGCCAGAATGGCCCTGAGGTCCTGGGGATGGGGAGGATGGATGAACCCGGGGGCCAGGAGGCTGTAGTTAAGTCTGGGTGAGGGGTTGGGGGCCAGGGCAGGAGAGGAGGAGAGCAGCCATGGAGGAAAAAGGTCAGCAACACAGTGGCAGATTTTGCTGGATGGAGGGGTGGGGGCTGCAGGACCCAGGCAAATAGCTCCACCCACGAGGAGCTGCTGAAAGGAGAGCCCGGAAGCCGATCCCTGCGTCTAGGAGAGAGGAGGAGGAGGCATCTGGCCGGCTCCAGCAGGGGACTCCCAGAGGCTGGAGTCCTCTTTCTAGGCCAGGGCACACCCTCAACACTGGCTGTCTATTCTCCTGCTTCCCCTCAGGTAAGAGATGGCGTTGGGGTCTCCCCACATGAGCCGCAGACGGTCATTTTGGCTACGGAAAGTCTCCGAGACCAACAATGCAGTTGTGCTCCCTGGGAGGGGCCCTGGGTCCAGGTAAGGCTGTGCTGGGTTCATGGAGTTTCCCCGAAGGCGACCTGGTCTCAGAGGGCTCCACGGTGACCCAAGGGTGGAAGGTCCGCCTCGGAGGACTCCTAGGCCTGACCACATGGAGTGGGTTTTCCTTTCCTCAGCAACCTCTCACCCAGACCGGAAGTGAGAAAATGCCCTGTCAGCTTGTGTGTGTGTGTGTGTGTGTGTCTGTGTGTGTGTTGGGGTCGGTAGGGTCCACACCTGTGCCTGCCCATCAACAGGGAAAGCTGACTTATGACTCAGAAGGCAGAAAGTTCCTACAGAAATGGAATTGCATACCTGGAATGATTGAAATAAACAGTTTCCTGTGGGGTTATTTCTAATGTAGGCAAGTTGGAGTCCCTTAAAGTAAACTTCCTGGGACCCAGGAGGGCTCTGATATGGCTGACATTAAGAGTGAAGCAAAGTATTGATGCAAATTTGGAGTAATGAATCTCAATCTGTCTCCTCAAATCCTTTTATTTTAAAAAATGCTAAAACTGCCATTCTGTGGGTGGAAAGTCATCTGCAGGTCCCTCTTCTCCCTCAAGACTCTAGACCAAGGGTTCCTAATCTTTTTTTTCTTTCTTTCTTTTCCCAGCACTGGGAGTGACTCCAGCACCTTTGTGCTGAGCTACAATCCCAGCTCTTTTTACTTTTTTATTTTTATATTTTTTAGACAGAGCTCCACTAACTTGCCAAGTTATCCAGGATGGGTTTGAACTTGCAATCCTCCTGTCTTGGCCTCCCAGAATGATGGGATTGCAGGCCCAGCACCAAACTCTTCAGTGTCTCAGAAAACTTAGCTGTCTGGTGAAACCTATAGCACCCTTCTCAAAAGAATGCTTTTCTTGGGCTGGGGATAGCTCAGTGGAGCTGAGCCTGCATTGCAAGTGCAAGGTTCTGAGTTTGATTCCCAGTATGGGGGGATGTTTTTCTTTTTCTCTCTTTCTTTTATTTTTTTTGTTTGTTTTTGAGACTAGGTCTCAATATGTAGTTCAGGCTGGCCTTGAACTCACTGCACAGCCCAGGCTGGACTCAAACTCACAGCAATCTTCCTGCCTCAGCCTCCTCAGTGCTGGGATTACAGGCATGCACCACCATGCCTGGCCAAAAAAAATGTTTAAAATGTATGAAATAAAATACATAGCCTTGCAAAGAAAAGCAGTTATACTGCAATTAATTTAAAATGCTAAATACAATCAAAATATTTTTAAAATTTGTGATATGGTAATATACATGGTTCTTTTTTAACACCTTAAATAGCAAGCTGTAGCAGTGGTTCTCATAATTACTGTAATTTCAAAGTATGCTGGGGTTATAAATGATACTTGAGAGTTTCTACAATGATCAAGATGTGTTGTGACGACATCCCTAATTTCAAGTGGTGGCAAAGTGATCCATGAAGCTAGTGCTGATGTAGTTTCTACTCAGATGAAAGAAATGTGATTTCTAGTTAAAGGTGAAAGTAAAGGGGGTCATGAGGCTCAGAGGTGGGGTTTCACCCAGCCCGGCAAAAAGCTACCTACCCAGGGGAGCACAGAGCTGCCAGGGCTCTATTTCCATTGCAAAACCCGGGAAATAATCCAGATGGCTACTACCAGGAGACAAGGAGTGACCACCAGGTGCGCTCATAAGATGACAACTTGGCAGCAATGACAGAATGGAAAACAACACCCAGGGCTGAGGACAAATCTCCCAAACAAGAGAAAAAAAACCCAAAAAAACACTGAGCAAAAAACCAAACAAACAAACAAAAAAACCTTGCAGGACAGAAAGTGTTATTCTGTCTATAGAAAGCAAAAAATCCAGCCCTAAACAGTGGGTCATTTAGGATTTATATTTATACAGTAAAACTAAGAAAGAAGCTGATAAACATAACTCAGTATTTAGTGCAGTTAGTGGGAATGGGTAGAAATGCAGTGGGAGGGAAAAATGGGAATTGGTTTGAAACTGAGCGATGAGTATATGGTTGTTCACCTTGTCCCCCACCCCTGTAGTAGAGGTTGAACCCAGGGCCTTCACTCTGAGCTATATCCCCAGCCCATTCATTTATTTATTTATTTGTTCGGTCATTCATTGATTTATTTGTCTAGACAGGTTGTCACTAAATTGAGTTCTCCAGGCTGGGTTTGAATGTGCGATCTTTATACCTCAGCCCCACAGAGTGTGGGAATTGTAGGTGTGTACCACCACTCCTATCTGGCTGTTTCCTTATACCTTAGTTTTACACATCTATATTCTGCTACAGGCCTGGAATATTTCCTAATTTTTTTTTTGGTACCGGGGATCGAACTCGGGTCCTTGCACTTGCAAGGCAGGCGGCCGAACCACTGAGCTAAATCCCCGGCACAATATTTCCTAATTTTAAAAATGAAGTACAGGGCCGGGGATTTGGCTCAGTGGTTCCACTGCCTGCCTCACAAGCGCAAGGACCCAAGTTCAATCCCTGGTACCAAAAAAAAAAAAGTACGTTTCACCAGTAAACTGATTTTTTTTTTTTTGGTACTGGGGATCGAACTCAGGACCTCGCGCTTGCAAGGCAGGCAGTGGAACCCCTGAGCTAAATCCCTGGCTCTAGTAAACTGATTTTTGTGAAAGAGAGAAAGAAAGAAAAAGAAAGAAAGAAAGAAAGAAAGAAGAAAAAAATGAAAAGGCAAAATGAAAAATTGAAAATTATTTAGAAATCATATATCTGATGATAGTCCAGTATCCAGAATAGAAAAAGAACTCTCACAACTCAACAAAAAGACAAGTAACTCAGATTTTAGAATGAATAC